TGTACAGAAGAAACCTTTCAATCCGATTCTCGGAGAAACATTTGAAGCTACCTTTCTTCATGAAAAGGATCCTACCAAGGATATTCAACTCTTTGTCGAACAAACATCTCATCACCCTCCTATCTCTTCCTATGAAGCCCAAGGTCATAATTTCAGATTGCACGGATATTGTGGTTACCTTGCAAGTATCCGAGGAAATGCCTTGAAAGGCGGCCAAGTAGGTCCAACATATATCGATTTTGAATCGGATGGAGCAACCATTCACTACTCACAACCATTCTTGTGGCTAAAAGGTATTTGTTGGGGAGAACGAGTTCTCGAATATTATGACAAGATGGCTTTCACAGAGAACAAGAATAATCTCGAATGTGAAGTAGTCTTTAATCCAGACCAAAAGAGTTTCATTGGATCCTTTTTCAGTAGTCAAAAGACCCCTGTTGATTTCTTGAGAGGTGAAGTTAAAAAAGATGGTAGCGTGATCGGTGTGATTGAAGGAAGTTGGTTGGGTGTTGTTCACTACTATCCTGGACAAACAGCTGATTCATTGTCTTCAATGAAAGACAAGGAAAAGGTCGAAGTATCTCGCAAGGAAATTTTCAATATTGCAAAGGAAGTTCCAAAATATGCTAAACCTTCGGATGATCCTCTTCCATCAGATGCTCGTTTCCGAGAAGATGCTGTTGCTCTCCGAAGTGGAAACTTGGAATTAGCTCAAACAAAGAAAGAAGAGCTTGAGAACAAACAAAGAAGAGAACGAGCTCTCAGAAAGACTGGATCCAGTCGGAATAGCCTTGCAAGCAATCAAAGTGGTAGCGAAAAAGACTTGATAGAGGCAACTCAAAATTAGTCATTTTGTGTGCAAGATGTTGAGGTTTTTGAGATTACAACGAGAGATGTTACTCAATTCTTTTTACCATTTATCTATTTATTTATCACACGCCTTTGTAAAAATTAATAACGATATTGTTAAAATGTGACAACCCAATTTTTGTAACGTCGATGGTGTCCATTCATATTTTTGATTGTTTATTTTGAACGAGTGGTTTTGCTACGCGTATTTGAGCTGCTCTGTCAGAAACAACCATGATAAATACCGATACTGTATTTAAAGTACATCCTTGTTGTATTGATCTTCTTCACTTTGAGGAATAAGCTCTGTTTTTATGAGTATATTAAGCGAGAGTTCTTTGGCTGCATGACAAAAACAAGTCTAAATGAATTAGTTCATCAATGTCAATCGATCACGTCACAAGTGAAAGAGAAAATTAAACAATAGTTATTTCGAAATGACCACTTACATAAAGTAAAATTGTAAGAACCCATCCAATATATAATAGAGTATTAAATATCGGGCTTGACAGCATTGGAAGCGGAGATTCCATGCTTCTTCCATATTCAGCCCATACAAAAAACACAACATGTAACATGAAAAAGAAAATATCTACATTTGTGGCGTAATAAATCACATTCAATCGTCTCATATTTTCTGTGTTAGTTTTGCTGTAGTATTGATAACATAAAGTGAATGACATGATAATTATGAGACCCTTCACGATTATCAAATCCAATATCGATCCAACAAGAGGATAATTTGAAAGTACAAATGATTGAGCCCGATTCATTTCCATCAAATCACTCCATCGGGAATTTTCTGCATCAATACTATCCGAAAATACAATCTTACAAAGATGAATGATTGCCAACAAGAGGAAAGCATACGAAAATTTTCTCATTTTGGCCAACCAGAATTCGATTTTTGCATCATAAACTTTTGATAATTGAAAAAAGTATGCTGATTTTGAAGGTTTCAAATCGGATCCTTCTTCTTCATCCAGTTGTGGCTCTGGAATGTTTTCTGGAGGTTGGATGTTTTTTGTTGATGTCAAAAATTCATGCAAATCAGCTACGAAGTGTTTCAGTGTTTGTTGAGGCATTTTTTTTAGGTGTGTTCTATTATTTAATTAGAAGATAAACTGAACGATTATTTATCAACTTGGAGTTCTTTATTTACAAATCATCATTATTGCTCATGATGGCAATGAATTCATTTTCATTAATTTCTCCATCTCTATCAAGATCAAACTCGTCGATCATTGCTTGCAGCTCTTCCTCACTCATACTTTCTCCAATTTCTCTTGCAATTTTCTTTAAATTTTTTAAACTTATTTTACCATTTCCATCTTCATCAAAGAGTTTAAAAGCTTTCTTAATTTCATCTAACGGATCTCGTTCTAAAATCTTGTCCGTCATCACCTGCAGAAATGAATCGGAGCTGATCATCATGGGATGTGAATCGTCAAGAGGTCTCTCATCAAGATTCTCTCTCATCAACCTCAGCACTTCTTCTTTTTTAATGTCGAAACCGAGAGCTCTCATTGCTACTTTAAATTCATGTGCATCCAAATATCCATCTTTATCCGTATCAAATAATTCAAAAGCTTCTTTAATTTCTTGTTTTTGTTCATCACTCAATTTTATTCTCTTTCCGATGCCGCTTTTCGATGGTAACGACGTTGTTGGTGAGGCTTTTCTCAAATAATCTGTCTTTCTCAAGGAGCTCATAATAAATAGTTTTAGTGTGATTTGTATTGGATGTGTAAGGGTATAGAGATTCCGATGTGATTGACTAAAGGGATGTTGTAGTTGGTTATTGCGTGTATTTTTTAAATGTTTGAAAAATGTACAAAATTTGGCGGGATTCAATTTCCGTCTCGTTGCTTTCTTCTTTCTCACAGAGAGAGTTGTTTCAGTCATAGGAATAGCCGAATAGGTGAAAAAACTCACAGAGTCATATTGATATCATAAAATTAAGAAATACACTTTTTTGGTTGGGTTCAACAATTTTCAATTTTGGATAGTACGAACAACAAGTACCCATATGCTTTGAAAAGAAGCTATTTACAGATGAATCGACATCTTGCAACAGTGTTGAAAGGCTGTCGTCATGAATCACCGTCATATGTATAATGACAGAGAAAATGGAAAATAGAATTTCACAACAAACACAGTTCGTACGAATGGTTTACAAAAGAGCCTTTTTGGTGATGAGTATACTGAAGCCACTTGATTGCCTCTCTGTAGATCAACAAATAAACCTATTTGATGTATTATATTCCTCAATACAACTATTCAAAATACATCATAAATTCTACCCTTGTCTTGACGTGTCGTTTCGTGTACGTGTAACTACATTCATACTACAATCGACCCTTAACACACTCCATTTGTATTCCAATCTTGTCCCATCGAGCTCAGAAATACAAACTTCCAGAGCAAGTTCTATCATTTGTGTATGACAAATTCAATCTCTCGTTTCCATTCGAGCGAATGCTAGTGGATGTATGGCCAAAAAAAAAGAAGCAAACCCCCAAGCGGGCATTTCAGGAATAGTCTCTTCATCATCATCAGTAGCCCTTGGTGCTGGCTAGTCTGTATTTGGTTCCATTCTCTCGTCCTTAATTGTGCTTTTCATTATATTCTCTCTCTCTCAAGAGTTGTATCATCCTTACTTGCTGCAACAACTATTCCCCTACAACAACACCCTCATAGACATACTTTTAAAAAATGTGTCCTCTAGCCTCATCTCGGGGGAGTCCAGTCGTAGTTGCCTCCAATCGTGTTTCATCCTCACCTTCTTCGAGTAGGCCTCAATCAGCTTCATCGGTGAGGTCTTCATCCTCAATATCCCATCATTATAATCAATATAGAAATAATACAAGTATTCAGAGTGCAGCTGTGAGCCTGAGTAGTGTTCTACCGGGAGGATCTATCATCAATGGAATACCAAAGGCCAATTTCAGTGCTGGCCGAAAGACTGTCCTTAATGCCACTCAAGAGAAGGACAAACCTCGAAAACGACCCAATGTTAGCAATGAATCATCGAAAGAATTGGTCAATGAAGTGAGAAGGAAAGCAAGATGTGGCACTCATTGTAACGAGGAATCTAAGACTCCACCTCCACGACTCATGAGGAAACGGCCACAATCAGCAAGTGTTTACCAACCCAGAAATGTTGTTGTCGATCCCCCAGACACAAGCGGAGTGCACAGAAGACGATTAGTTACGCCAACACGAGAGAGAACCACCACAGAAAGTGATCACACCTGCGACAATGCAAATGAAGACCTAAATGTCAAGAGTATTCTCACATTTGATCCATCTTCTCTCTCAAAAGACGACCAGAAAAAGGTGTCAGATTTTGGTAAAGTTGGAAAAAAGCAGAACTCATCGATGGCATTAAGGTCGTCGTTTGAACAATCCTCGCTGGTGAATGTTAAGGTTTGTATGATTTTAACATTGATTTGTACTTACTTTTCAAATTGTGCTACCTACAACCCTGTCATTACTAATCAACTATGACATCATACCTCATCAACTTTGCATCTTCTTGACCTGTCACCATCATGAACTGCATACAATACCTCATTACATTTCAATCTAATGTCTTTATCATCATACAACACTTCATTTCAACGACATTCATACAACAGGCTGAATTGTCCAAAGACCTGCTTCCTACAACCAACTACTGGAAGGTCCTCAACGACAATCACATCGAGTTGAAACCTCGAGTACGACCTCCAACTGCAGCAAGAGCAGGTTTGGATTCTGTGGCCGGTTTATTGAGATGGGAATAGTGATTTCGATTGATCGATAAGCACAAGTAACAACACATGTTAAAGTAAGAGTATTTGTTTTATAAATTAGAGAATGTTGTTATGTACATATTCAAGTGTACGGTGGAAGGAGATCTAGGGATGGTTGGTTAACGTTAGGTTTGGAGAATCATTAGGTAAACTTGCTGTAAACAGGTTTACAAGAAATCAAGATCGTCATCGAACAGCAAAGGTGACTTTGGAGCTCTGTTGAAAGTCGAGAAATCAAACATGTCATTGTTGCAGGCTTCTGCACAAAAGTCGTCATGAATGGCAGTGAATGGATTCTCTTCTTGTGGCTTGATTGTCTTGGACTGTTCGAGGAATTCCTTAATGATTCTTGTTTGGGCCAAAATATCTTCCATCGAGTAGTTTCGCTCAGTCTCAAAGTTGCTGTAAGGTGCACCAAGGAATCGTTCAATTTCCAAACACTCTTCTTCATTGAAATTGAGATTAACGTCACGATTGTCAACGACAGTGTATTGGATTTGCTTCTCCATCTTGACCATCACTGGTTGTTGAGGTTGCACGAAGACTTGTTGTGGAGCAACAATATCTTCGTCACAGGCAAGATCAACACTGTTCGTAACTAAAACTGGAGCAGTGCTGGATGAGGATCTCTTGGATGGACACTTTTGAGCTTGCAACCATTCAACTTGTTGCTTGGAGAGTTGGCTGAGTGGATGATAATAAGAGGCTTGTGGTTGTTGTTGCTTTTGGGCTGGCAATGGTAGCACTACAGCTTCTTCTTCCTCTTCCTTTGGTACGTATTCATCGTCTTCATTAGTGGCAGTGTCATCTTCTCCCTCGTCGCTAAGCATCTTGGAGTAGTTGACTCGTTGACCTCGTGTGGTTCTTGGTAACATGGCAATATCTTCATTGGTTGACACTTCATCTTCGTCTTCTGAAGAGGAAGAATCGTCTTCATCGTCTTCAACAATAAAAGATGTCTTTCTCTTCTTGGTTGAGCTTTCAGTTGGCAATTCTCTCTTTGGAGCTGTCTTTCTCTTCTTCGAAGAGCTTTCCTTTTGCACTCTTCGTCCTTCACCAAGGTAAATCTTTGGGAAGGCCTCTTCTGGAATTTCTACAATTTCAGTAAAGTTAGTTTCCCTAATACTGTCTGGACCAGTGGTCTTTCTTGCCTTTTTGTAAAATGTGTAGAGATCCTTCTTAATGTTTGGTTTCAACTTGGAAAAGGTGTCAATGAGGCAGCAACTCTTCTTCAGAGAAGCCCATCTGTTTGAGAGTTGGTTGTCTGTTCTGGTGTCCTTATAGTACTTTTTGCTCATTTGAATCCAAGATCCCTCAAAGTGGTGATACACAGAGAGGAGTTCAATGTCTTCGTTCTTGGACCAAGTGGATTCCTTATCCTTAGCAACGAGAACTCTCTTGTAACGTTGGAAAAGCTGATTGGTCTTGAATCGACCGTTGAAATATTCTCGGGAGATATCCTTCCAATTATTACCATACTTCTTGTATCCTTCGATGAGTTTTTGATCATCTTCGGCAGTGAAGAGTGAGCTACCGTTAGAGTTCTTTCTGCTAGATGCCTTCTTTTCTACCATTTGTAATGAGTGGTGTTATTGTTGGTGGTGGGTATAATGATATGAATTCAGATGAGGGTGAGGATGAATCAGGTTCCTTAAAATTACAAGGCTTTCTCGACGATTTGGATAACACACGAATTTGTGTTGGTGGTGATGGTGGTATGGTTTTATATAACAGAATAACAAAGTGTTATGGGAGTAATGATGTTGGCGGAACAACAAGGCTTGTGTTGATGATAATATGGTGTGATCGTGTCTCGGAAAAGGGAGAGAGGCTTCGATGATGGGAGGAGTGAGGCAGACTACTACTATCAGCAACTGCTTGTTGGCGCGTATTGTTGTGTTGGTTTTTTTTGTGTTTATTTGGGACATGGGTAGCGTCGAGTCGAGTGACTTTATTGCACTCCCACACACTCAAGCCTTCTTCTCGATATTGAAAGAAAGAGCGCATGCGATTTTTGTGGTTGACATTTGTCGAACTAAAAGAGTCTTTACTCATACTACTCTTGGAGTAGAATACCAGAATGGGCAACGTTGGAGTCTTTGATGAGATTCTATGCACAAGCAGGCCATTCGTTAGAACCACACATACGGAAAACACAATGAAATGAACCCATCATCGATCTCGAACTGAGATTCTCTTCATTTGTGAAACTCATCTCGCAAAGAAAAATTTTTCAATTGCAGTTTTATTCTCCCTAAACGATCAATGATAGATGATGGCCTTGATTG